CATTTCGGTACACCCCTCACACGTTTCGTGGCCCCATAGGGAGCTCCACCGAAGGCCCCAGTGGCAGGGTCCGCATGCCTCTCCACCACCCATTTCGGCACACCCCATCACACGTTACGTGGCCCCATAGGGAGCTCCACCGAAGGCCCCAGTGGCAGGGTCCGCATGCCCCCCCACCACACATTTCGGCACACCCTTCACACGCTTCGTGGCCCCATAGGGAGCTCCACCGAAGGCCCCAGTGGCAGGGTCCGCATGCCTCCCACCACCACCCATCTCGGCACACCCCTCACACGTTTCGTGGCCCCATAGGGAGCTCCACCGAAGGCCCCAGTGGCAGGGTCCACATGCCTCCCCACCACCTATTTCGGCACACCCCTCACACGCTTCGTGGCCCCATCGGGAGCTCCACCGAAGGCCCCAGTGGCAGGGTTCGCGTGCCTCCCCACCACCCATTTCGGCACTCCCCAACACCCATTTCGGCACACCCCTCACACGTTTTGTGGCCCCATAGGGATCTCCACCGAAGGTCGGGGGGGGCTTGAGACTCTGGTGACACATGCGTTGGCACGTCTGGGTGGCTATCGGGTGGCTGGAACCGTTGGGGTAATCCGTGGAGGATGGGCTGTGGAAGTCGCTTCTGAGGGCCCTGCCACTCCATCTCGCGGTCCAAATCCACCTCTTCCTGCGTGCCCAGTAACAGGTCTCATGATGCGATGATGATACTGATGTGTTGGCTCGCCCCAGTGAGCTCTCCTTCTCCGCCCGCCACCTCCTGCCCGCGCTGCCCTGTGCCTCGCCCATGCAGTGGCGCGGTGCCTATGAGAAGAGGGGCCTAGTTTGCGTGCCCCCTCCTTCGTCTCATACCCGCGCGGTACTCGCAGCTGCATATGGTTGGGTCCTTCGCCAGGGTAATTTTTCCTGGTCGGGTTTAGTTTTCCCTGTGGTCGGGTGTCATTGTTCCCTGGTCGGACCTACTTGTCCTCTGGTCGGGTCTAGTTTTCCCCTGGTCGGGTCTAGTGTTTCCTTTGCGCGGGTCTAATGTTTTTTTGGTCGGGTGTAGTTTTGCCTTGGTCGGGCCTAGTTTCCCCTGGTCGGGTCTAGTTTCCCCTGTGGTCGGGTCGAGTTGTTCCCTGGTCGGGTTTATGTTTCCCCTGGTCGGGTCTAATTTTCCCCTGGTCGGGTGTAGTGTTTGCTTTGGTCGGGTTTAGTTTTCCTTTGGTCGGGTGCAGTTTTTCCGTGGTCGGGTCTAGTTTTCCCCTGATCAGTTCTAGTTGTTCCACTGGTCGGGTATAGTTCCCCTTGTCGGGTCTAATGTCCCCTGTGGTCGGGTCTAGTTTTTTCCCCTGGTCGGGTTTAGTTTTCCTCTGGTCGGGTCTAGTTTCCCCTGGTCTGGTCTAGTTTTTCCTTTGGCCTGGTTGAATTGCTCTATGGTCGGGTCTAGTTTTTCCCTGGTCGGGTCTAGTTTTCCCCTGGTCGGGTCTAGTTTTTCTGTTGGTCGGGTTTAGTTTTTTCTCTGGTCGGGTGTAGTTTTCCCCTGGTCGGGTCTAGTTGTTCCTTTGGTCGGGTCTAGTTTTTCCCTGGTCGCGATGTCGGTGGTCATGGCGTCGCTGATTGCGCTGATGACGTCGGTGGTCATGAGGGCGACTACGATGGTGGTGATGACGACGACTAGTTATTCCGCTCGCAAGCGTCGCGGCGCCAGCTGCCGCGACGCCGCCTCGGCCTCAGACGGCGCGCCAGAGGCAGCGTCACGGGCGCGCCAGAGGCAGTGACTCGGCCACGCCAGAGGCAGTGTCTCGGGCAACCATCTCCTAGCGAAGGTCTTCCCAAGGGTTGCTCTTATTCTGCCCGCTTCCTGAGGGCGGTGAATTGTCGGGGCGCGCCAGAGGCGGTGCGTTCTGGCCGCTTCCTGAGGCCGCTTCCTGAAGGCGGTCAGTTGGCGGGCGCCCTTCGGTCGCTTCAGGCCGCCTCCTGAGGCCGCTTCGCGTTGGGGCGCGCTCGCCGCGGCGGGGCGCGCCAGAGGCTGTGCCTGCGTCCACTTCGCCCATGGCGGGGGGCCCCTCGCCCTCGACCCTGGCGACCTTCCTCGGGGGCGAGGCTGAGTCTGGGTTGAAGACCTCTGGCGCCGAGGTCCGAGTCGCAATCGCCTGGGCCTCGGGCACGAATTCGACCTTGGCGGCGATGGTCAGCCTTGGGTGCTACTCTCCATTCTTTTTGCTCGTCCTCGACTCCGTCTCCCCTTCCTCCTCCCCCACCCCCCCTCTCCTCCTCGCCCCCCGCTCCTCTTCCCCCCGCCTGCCCCTCTCCCTCCTCCTACCCCCCCTCCTCCTCCTCCTCCTCGTCCTCCTCCTCCTCCTCCTCCCCCTCGCCGCGCCCGCCCTGTCGGCAGTCGGCGCCGTCGGCGCCCCCCTCTTCTACCTTCCCTTCCTTCGACCCCTCCTTCCTCCTCCGCCCCCCCCTCCTCTCCCACTTCTTCCCCCTTCTACTGCTGCTGCCCCCCTCCTGTCACCGATCTGTCACCGCCCTCCTCTCTCTTTGGAAGAGTGCCCAGGATGGCCTGCTTGGGCTCTGCATGGAGAGGCTGCTGAAAGAACTTGTAGCCTCCCGCCCATCCTCGGCAGCGGAGCGGAGGGCGGGCGAGGCTCGATCAATCTGGCTGCTGCCTGCCCCAGGCGGAAAAGCGACGGCATGCCAGTCGCTGTTCCGCCTCCGCGCTCTCGGCATGGCGGGGGGGAGGGGCAAGGGCGAGGCCGGCTGGCTGGGCAGCGAAAGCCGACTGGACAATGGGCAGCCAGATTGAGCGACCCACCCCCGGCCCTCGTCTCCACGCTGAGCTATCCTCGCCCGACATGAACGGCGACGCGTCCGAGAGGCCCATGGAGTCGTCGTCGCCCTCGGTCTCGTGCAACGGCGGGCCGCCCTTGAACTGAGACGGGGAGGCTGGCTCCAACCGCGAAGCCTTGTTCGCCGGCTTGTTCGCCGGGGGCGCCGGGATCGGACCTTCGCCAGGTGGGCCAGTCGCATCTTCCGCAGGTGGCCTGCTATCGTCGGCGGCGAGGACTGACTGTCAGAGGACCCGCTGCTATCGTCGGTGGCGGCCCGCTTCTTGCGAATCATCCGAGGGCTCTCGGGCGTCGCCATCTGGGGCGCGCCAGAGGCAGCTCGCGGAGGGCGCGACGGAAACGGGGGGCGACGCAGACGCGGCCGCGCGACGTTCCTTCCCGCACAGGCCGCCCCACACTCGGAGCAAGCCTACCCCCTGGAGCCTGCGCGGGCAGGGGGCCTGCGAGGAACGAGGGATGGGAACGTCGCGCCCGCAGCGGCTTCGCCCCCCAAGTTCCCTTTGGCGGCGGCGAAGCGGGGCTCGCTGACCCCGCTGACGCTTGGGCCCCGCGGCTGGCCGAACGAGGAAGTGGGCGAGGGGGTTGGCGAGAGCGACAGAGAGATTGATGGAGAGAGAAGTAGGAAAGTAAGGGGGTGGTGGATCTGGCTCAGGCCGCCTCCGGCCCCGCGGGCCTGGGTTTAGTTTTCCCCGACCAGGGGAAAACTAAACCCGACCATAGGAAAAGCTAGACCCGACCAGGGGAGAAAACTAGACCCGACCAAGGAAAAACTAAACCCGCCCAAGGGAGAACTAGACCCGACCAGGGAACAGATAGACCCGACCAGAGAAAAACTAAACTTGACCACAGGAAAACAAAAAAAAAAAACTAGACCCGACCAGGGAAAAAAACTACACCCGACCGGGGAAAAAAACTAAACCCGACCAGAGAAAAACTAAACCCGACCAAAGGAACAACTAAATCCGACCAGGCGAAAACTAACCCCGAACAAGGGAAAACTAAACCCGACCAAGGAAAAACTAGACCCGACCAAGGAACTGAACCCGACCAAGGAAAAACTACACCCGACCAAAAGGAAAACTAAACAATACCACAGAAAAACTACACCCGACCAAAGAAAACTAGACCCGACCAAGGGAAAACTAAACCCGACCCGGAGGAAACTAGACCCGACCAGAGAAAAACTAAACCCGACCAAACGAAAAACTAGACCCGACCATTGGAAAAACTGAACCCGACCAGGGGAAAACTAGACCCGACCAGGGAGAAACTGAACCCGACCAAAGGAAAAACTAGACCCGACCAGGGGACAACTAGGCCCGACCAGAGGAAAACTAGACCCGACCAGGGAACAACTAAATCCGACCAAAGGAAAAACTAGACCCGACCAGGGAACAAGTTTCTTTTTTCCGAAAACTACACCCGACCAAGGAAAAACTAGATTCGACCAGGGAACAACTAAACCTGACCAGGGAAAAAACTACACCCGACCAAAGAAAAAATATACCAGACCAGAGAAACACTCAACGTGACCAAAGGAAAAAATAGACCCGACAAGGGGAAACCTAGAGCCGACCAAGGAAACATTAGACCCGACCAAAGGAAAAAACTATACCCGACTAAAGGAACAACTAGACCAGACCAAAGGAAAACTAAACCCGACCGAGGAAAAACTAGACCTGACCACTGAAAAACTAAACCCGACCAAAGGAAAAACTAGACCCGACCAAGGGACAACTAGACCCGACCATGAGAAAACTAAGCACGACCATAGGAAAACTGAGCAGGAGACGCGGGGTATGGCAACCAATACCATGAGAACATGACGGAACAGAACCACAAATAGCATGATTGCGCCGATGGCGATGACGACGGCGACATCGCGACCGCCGCGACCTGCGGCGATGGCAGCGGCGGGTGCGACATCTGCATGTCCGAGCCGAGCGCTGCCGCAGGATTCACGCCTCAGAAGAGCCGACGCCGCCGACAGCCGTGGGGCCTACATCACTGTCGCGCGCCGCCGTAGAACTCATCCTCAGAACCGACGCCACTGGGCCCCCCTCGGAAACGAATGCTCGAGCGACCTCTCACGCGGCAACGGGCGCGCCAGAGGCAGTGTCGTGGCACGCCGGAGGCAGTGTGTCAAATGCCCACCTACTCGTCGTCCGAGCTCGCGCCATCCTCCTCCTCCTCCTCCTCCTCCTCATCGTCGCCGCCCCCAGCCACTGGCATCAACAGACGTTTCGCATCCATCATGGCTCCGCTGAAATACTTGCTGGCTTTCTCGACGCACACGGCGTCGCCGCCCAATTGCTCCGCGTTCCCCTCGTCGTGGCCCGCCCTGTGCATCGCGCGCCTGTCCACGGTGGAATCGAGCCAGCCCCGGTGCGCATCGTTGGCAGCGATGCCTTCGTACTCAATTGCGCCAGAGGCAGCAACAGCTAAAGCGCCAGAACCTGGAGCGAACTCCACGACGTGGGTCACTTTGTGGTGCTCTACGAGAGTCTGCCACAAGCTGAGCGGCTTCACCTCGCCGTGCGAGAACGGGTGGTCCTTCGAGCCGATGTCCCCCTGCAGGCGCGGATGCTCCCCGTCAGCGCTAGCGCGAGATGCAGCTCCCAAGATGCTCATCTTCGTCTCGTGGTCCATGCGAGGGAGCTCGGAGAAACGCCGCATTGGGATACCGATGCATGACGTGTCTGCGGTCGAGGACTCGCCGCACGCGTTGAACTCCGCACGGTGCACCACTTTCCGCGGCGGGCCCTTGAGTGGCACCGAGAAAATGGCCGTCTCCCTGTTGTTCTTCGTGTAGCTCGACGCCCTGGCCGCGGACCGCGGGTCCACCTTCTTCGTCGGTTGCTCGTGCACGAAGCAGCACTCGACGTGCGCGTGGGTGCCTCCTGACTCCAACTTCGCATCGAAGGACTCGATGACCCTGCGGTTCGCGCGGCTCCTGCCGTCGAGGAAGATGAGGATATCATCCTTCTGCCTCTTCTGCAAGAAGAACTCGATGACGCGCTTGAACTTCGCCTCGTCACGCGCCGCCTGCTCGTTCATCCTCGCCTTGGCGCCTTGCTTGACGACGTTGGGCGGGAACAAGTCCGCTGGGGGGATGAACGCGCGAACGTCGTTCTTCTTCCTCCCGAAGCGGTGCCCGAGGCTGAGCGCACACCACAAGCTCTGCATCTGCACCACTGCGTACTCCGCGCCAGAGGCACCGCCGACAGACGGCAAACTGACGAACTTCGCAGTTTTCCTGCGGAGCTGCTTGAGCTCCCCCCGGAGCTTCTGGAGCTCTTCCTTGTGCTCGTCCCCGAGCTCGGACATCCCCAACAAGCCGAGATTTGCATCCAAATCGGGGTCGGCGGGGATCGGCCCGCCCGTGCACGCGGCCACGAAGGCGCGGCACTTGGCACCAATGCCCTGGCTGGTCTCGGTGAGGTACGTGTGCCAGACGAACCCAGTGGCGCTGTCCTGCAACTCCTGCTGGGCAAGCTCGGCAATTGCGTCGTCGAAAGCGCTCGACCACAGAGGCCACGCGACGTCGATCATCGCCTTCGTCTTGACATCCACGGCGTTCCGATGCCCAGCCACGGGGGGCGCAAACGATGTCTCCATCCCGTCGGCGCCGCCGCCTGAGTCGGACGCGCGGTGCGAAGCCACGAGCCCATCCGCGCCAGGGGCAGCGAACTTCTGGAGGATGTGGAGGGGCGTCCTAAATGCCGCCATGTCGTTCCCCACTTCCTTGTTCATGAGAAACGCCTCGTGGAAGATGTACTCGACGAGCTCCTTTTTCTTGAAGAGCGCGTGGGGCATCCCCGGCGTCTTCCTATCGCGCCCGACGACCCGGCTCGCGACCAGTTTCTCGCCCTTCGGGACGTCGCCCGTCAAGCGGGCCACGCGGAAACTGTTCATGATGAAAACGAGCAATTCCCTGGCCTTGGCGTCAGAACCAGCCCTCGTGGAGCAGGCGAAGCCGATCCTCATGAGAAACCCAGGGTCGCGAAGCTCTGGGAAATGCACTTCGGCCAGCGCGAAAGCCGAACTGCAGGCGCCGTCGAGGACGAAAGGGCGCAGACCTTTCAGCGCCGCGGCGGTTACAGCGGTGCATGCTTTTCCTTCGAACTTCAGGCCGTAGGCCTTCAGCGCAGCCCCCAGCTTCGACACTGGTTCCTGTTTGGCGAAACAGTTCTCAACGTCGGTCAAGCGGCGCGTTTTTTCTGCGAGCCGCCAGAAGGACTCAGCGCCAGAGGCAGCATACGCAGATAACATCTTCTCTGAAAATGCCAGAGCGGCCAAGTGGGTCGCGTCGCCATCAGGCAGCAAGCGCATCCTGATGGGCACGGGCGACGCGGCATTGAACAGATGCCACGCGCGGTCTTCGTTGGACTGCTGGAGCGCCTCGCTCACAGCAGCGCGCCACGTGATGACCACCGCGCGCCCCGCGAGCATGGCCAGAGCCTCTGTCAAGCAAGCTCCAGGCTTGTTAGGCTCAAGCCGCTGGGCGACCTTGACGTCGACCACCAAGGCGGGGATGGGCGCGTCGAAGGAGAGGCGCCGCGAGGGCGCGTGCCTGGAGGAGAGGGAGTGCGCCTCCTCCGACCGCACGCCCGCGGCACCCTCGAGCTGGCTTATGGTGGCGTCGTCGATGTCCGAGCAAATCGGGCCCGACATCCACGCCGCCCCCGCTGCCTCGTATTCCTTGGTGCGGGAGAAGCTCGCAACCAGGTTGTCGTAGTCCATGACCTCGCGAACGAACTGAGGTTTGCGCCAGAGGCAACATCAGTGATGGCCAACGGCCGAATCGAAGAACACTTGGCGGGCACCGCAAAGGGCGCCTCGCGCTTGCGCTGCCCCAGGGAGCAGAGCAAACTATGGTCGACGTAGTGCTTCACTTGGCGCGCCCACTCCTTGACGTGACCCTGCTGCATCGACGCGTGGTCCGTCTCGAGGAGCTGCGCGATGCACAGGGCCGGCGGCGCGCCAGAGGCAGCGGCGGGCGGCGCGCCAGAGGCAGCGGCGGGCGGCGCGCCAAAGGCAGCGGCTGGTGAGGCCGCCGCGGCCGCCGCCTTCTTCGTAGGCGACGGGGTCCCCGCGTCACCTGCCCTCTTGCCCATGGCGGTTGCTGGTGGTTGGGGGCGAGCGCGAAAAGCAAAAGCGAGCTACTCGCGTCCGAGAGCCGAGACCGCTGTGGATGATGCTGACGATGATGATGGTGGTGATGATGATGATGATGACGACAATGCTGGTGATGACGATGATGGCGATGGTGATCATGATGATGGTGATGACGATGATGACAACTGCTGGTTGCGTGATGACGGTGATGATGCTAACGACGGTGAGGATGATGATGTTAGCGACGCTGCAGATCCTTAATATGATGCCCCCCCGTGGTGGACCAGCCAGCCAGCGCGAGCCCCGCAGGGGCTCGCGCTGAGGAGTGGGCGCGTGGCCGCCTTGCCACAAAACCATCATCCTTGTCCTTCTCCCGCCGCGGTCTCCTTCCCTCTCCCCCCCTCCCAGGGGTGTTGGTGCACGCGTGCCTGCGCGTAACCCATCACCGCATGCCGGCGTCCTCGCCGTGCGCGAACAGGGTCCCGGGGCCCTCGTAGCATCGATCCGGCTCGAGAGCTGCCGCGGAGAGAACCTGGGGGTCTAGAACCCCGGTGCCGGGACCGTTCGCGCCGCTTTGCGGCTGCTTTCCATGGCGGGGCTGCATGGGGAGGGGCGGGAGGAGAAGGAGTGAGGACAGGGAGGCTCTCTTGGGCCCTCCACGGGCTGTCTTGGGGCCCTGCCGGGAGCCGCTCGGGCCGTGCTCGGAGGAGCTCGAAGGTCCCCAGAACAGTCTCGAGCCCCGTTGTTAGCTCGAAAAGGCGGAAGCCGGAAAATCAGTCAGAAACCTCGCAAGCAAATCTATGATTTTGTCTTGGGGGCCGCTTAGGTGCCCTCTTGAAGCGTTTTGGAGTTCTCTTGGGCCTATTTGACGCCATCTTGGCCGTCTTCGAGCGCAATTTACCTATCTCGGGGCATTCTTCGTCCGTTCTGGAGGTTTCTTGCGCCGTCTTGCTTCCCTTGTCGGGCCCTCTCGGGGGCCCCCTGGGAGGGTGCGAAACGACCGCTCGATGTTCCCGAGGTGGGCGGGGCCCTTTCTAGGATCTACTTATTTTACATACGCGCATTGTCCACTCCATGCATTGCATCACGTAGCTCGCATCCCATGGACTGATCTCAGACAATGCACATCGAAAATGCCACATGGACGGACTGCACCACAAACGCTGGAAATCGAGCGCAGCAACCAGCAACCGCTGTTTAGGCGTCCTTTCGGGAACATATTCGGCAACGCGCGGCCCCAAAAGCATTCGGCTTTTTCGCCCAATTTTGACGTCCCGGGGGGACCCCTGGAGGCCGAAATCGCAAAAGGAATGCCGACACCACGGAAAATCGCAACGCCACAAGCCCGGGCTGGGGGCGTCTGGGCCTGCTTAACCGCCGGCACAGGGACCTCCTCCAGCTCCGGCATGCGCGGGGGCAATTGCGGCTCGGCGGCCTCGCGACGGGAAGGGGGGGGCGCGCAGAATTACCTGGCCAGGGCAGGGCCGGAAGAGGAGGATGAGAGAGGACGGGGGGGGATGAGCGAACGACGCGCTGGAGAGGGCGCGTGTCCGCGGGTTAGAGGCGCAGCGGGCCCGCGCCGCCCACGAGGCACCGTGGCAACCTCAGGACGCGGCGGGCGGCGGCGACCACCTCCTTGCGGTACTTGAACTCGTCGTGGATGGCGGGCGCGCCCAGCTCGGCGCGCACCCGCATGATGTTGCGCGTGCGGAAGGCCGCGGCCATGCGTGATGGCGCGCCTCGGGTGGTCGTCGATGTTGTTGCTCTCGTGGAGCCCGAGCCGTGTGAGGACATCACCAGCAGGTTGTCCCCGAGGTTGAGCCAGTAGCGCCCGCATTCGTGGGCATGTAATGTAGTGGCTGATGTCGTCCGTGTTCTTGATCTGCGAGTCTTTGTCGCAGCCGAACAGGCAGTTCTTCTTGTGGGGATTGACGCGCATGCGGTGCGATGTCGTCCACGCCCCAGACAAGGTCTTCACCACGGGCCAGAATAGCGAGGCCGTGGAGTTCGCCAGGTGGGGCCGCAGGTCGCGCCAGACGTGCTCAACACTCGCAGGGAGAGCAGCTCGGCCAAGAAGTCCGTCACGGTCGGATGTATCGGAGTCCATCATGATGTCATTGGCGGAGTAGATGTGAGGTGTGGAGGTGGCCGTAGTGGTAGACTGAGTGCCGTCGTCTTCCTGCGGGAGGTTCGGGTTGGTGGCACGTTCCCGTTCGATCCAGCGACGACGGGCGCGGTGTTCAGCAGCTTCATCAGCAAATTCTCGATGAGTGTTGGTCGGCATGTGCTCGGTGGTGTAGATCTGTAGGCGGTGGTTGCGAGGTCGTTCAGCTCGATGCCATGCACCGTAACAGATCCCCTTCGCCATGTCACGGCGAGCACTGGCTGACCCGTACTGGTCATCGAGGCAGAAGTGCGCATTGAACTGGGTGCGGTGTAGAACAGCTGTGATGTACGGGACGCACCAGTCCATCCAGTCGTTGAAGTTGTCCATAACGCGGCCGAAAAACACGCTGGGGATCCATATTGCTGCCTATGCTTCTGCACGTTCATTCAGGTACTTCATGGAGTCATGGTTGTCATTCCCATTCGGCTGCTCGGTCGTAGCAGGTGCCATCTGAGGTCCACTGTCAACAGGAAGTAGTGGGAACCGGGCGCGGAGACGGTGATGGATAGTCTTGTGGAAGGAGTCGCGGTACAGCTGGCGTTGTAGTTCCCGTAGGTATGCTTGTTGTGGAGAGGTGCGTGAAGTGGCACTCGAAGTAGCATCATTCGAAGCTATGAATCCAGCTTGTCTCTGATGAGATCCGCCAGTCCTGTCACGACTGGGCGTGTGAAGGTCACCAGCCCTGTCACGGCATGGTGCCTGGTGGGCTCCAGTCCTGTCACGACTGTGTGTGTACAGATCCTCCGGATTGTTACGACGGGATGCCATGATAGCGTGTCGTCCAGCAGCAGCAGCTTGCGCATGTGCTCGTTGGCGTATCTGGGCGGCATTCACCGTAGATCCTGTGGATCGCGTGAGAATCTTGAAGATGGATCCTTTGCCCGTCGCGACCAGCTTGTTGTGAGGAACGTCGTCGAATCGCTGCACGATGGAAGTGGCGTCAATCCAGCACGAAGCAGACCATATGCCAACAACTACATCTCGTAGCGGGAGAAGTTCTTCAGCATGGGCACGGAGCGCGTGAAGCAGAGGCTGCCAGCCAGAGATGGTGGTCGTGGAGGCGCGCCACATCGTTGCTGCGAGAAGCGCTGCAATACCCTGCGGGATCGTGGCGGACGCCCATAAGCGTGAACGACAGGATGTCCATCTTCGTGAAGCTCGAGGGGGCAGCACGGATCAGCTTGTGGAGCCCGTGAATCTCCTTGGACAGGAATGCTGGGGAAGGCGGGTAGAGCTGGCCGACGTACGAGAGGCATGTGATGGCAGCGGAGTTGCACATCTTGATGCACTGCTGGATGGGAGCGTAGGAGTCGCTCAGGATCTGGATGCGCTCCCACCACTTGTTGGCAGGACCTTGCCGTTGACGGTCGAGAGAAGCGCCAGGGCCGATGTACACGCCGAGGTAGCGCGCAAAGCTATTGATGGAGAAGTCTTGCCACGGCTCGTAGAGCTGGGTCAGGATGGCACGCGTGCTCGCGGTGATCTCGGGCGTTGGCAGGGACCAGGTGGGCACGAGGACGCATTTCTTCGGTTGGAGGCGGAGTCCAGCGTAATGTAGTGCAGCTTGCAGGTGTGGTAGTAGAGCGCCAAGATCCCGAAGTGCAGCAATAACGATACCCAGGTCGTCGGCGCATGCGCTGAGCAGGCCTCTACCCAGAGCAGTAAGTTCCATCTTGAGGCCCTTGATGATGGGATCGAAGACTAGCGCCCAGAGCGCGCCGCTCAAGGGGCATCCTTGCGCAACCCCAGATTCTGCTAGAAGTAGCGGTCGACGAGTACCACTTAGGTCGAGGAAGGCAAGTGGCATGTTGTAGCAGCACTGCAGGAGATTGAAAGACGCCGTGGATGCCCCACCGCCTTAGAGTAGCCCACATCCGCGCGTGCGTGAGGCTCGGAAACGCTGCGGCAATGTCCATGCTGGCGAAGCAGGGCATCATGCTGGAGGCTTCGCTGTTGATGCTGGTGATGCGGGCGGTGGTGTCCACCTTGACAATGTTGGAGAGAAGTTGACGGCCATTGACAAAACCTTGTTGTTCTTCCTCGGTGTCCGACGCCACGGAGTTGAGGATGCGGTTCGTCGCGGAGGCGATGATCTGGATGTCACTGTTCTTCATGGCGAGGGGGCGTAGACAGTCAGGGCTGCGAGAGCACTCGTAGTTGCCCATGGGCTCATCACCCTTGGGAAGCATGGCCATGAGCGCGTAGTTCAGGTCGTGTGGGATCGGTCCACCGTGAGCAATGGAGTGGAGGAGTGTGTGGAGGATCTCGATGCTGCCTTCTGATCGTACCCATGCTCGATAAGGCAGTCCGTCAGGCCCAGGAGCAGAGTCACTGGCGTGTTTAGCAGCAGCTAGGAATTCTTCAATCCCAGGCAGAGGCAGGTGGCGTGGAGGCATTGGTGGGAAGACCATGTCTAGATATTGCTGCATCGCTGGGGCGTCAACATGCTTAGCAGCGAACACCTTCGACCAGTGATATTGAATAGCGTTGTGCATGTCCATGGGGTCGCTGGCGACTGTCGGGCCTCTGCTGTCGGTGATGCGGACACCTGCAAGAATCAAGCGCTTCGAGAACGGCTTCCAGATCTCGCTGCGCTGTCCAATACGACGAGCATGACGACGCCATCGCTCACCAAGGTCGGGTCGTTGTTCCGCGTAGGCAGCTCGCGAG